TGTATGGTTTGTTAGGATCGGACAATATTTGAACATCTGGAATCTGAGGGTGCAAAAAAATCTAAATATTGAGAAAATTGCAACAAAATGAAGTTCTTAGCAATGCATGTTAATAATCAAAAATTAAGTTTTGATATATTTACAGTAGGAGATTTACAAAATATTTTCATGGAACATGATCTTTACTTAATATCCTAATGATTTTTGGCATAAAAGAGAAATGTATAATTGTGACCCATACAATGTATTGTTGGCTATTGCTACAAATATCCCCCAGCGACTTAACACTGCTTTTGTGCTGCAGAGTCACATATGAAGTATTTTATATGCACTTTTTTAAGTGATATGGGATTTTGAAAGGCAGATGCAGATCTCTGAAATCTTGAGAGCAGCATAGCTGATAGCACACGAAGAACCTTTCACATCCATAGAAGAAGGTAGATTATTAAAATGCTCATAACACTAAGAAAAAATTATTCTTTTAAGAACTGTTCACTGAAAGATTATTTGGGGAATGTTTGTTACAAAAACCTTTCTTTATATTGTGTTAAATCATATTTAGTTTTGCATTTTTTGTTATAAATATTATTTAATATTTTATTCTTGTATAAACAATATTTACTATTAGTATTAATTATTAAATAAAATATTTAGCATTAGTATTATGTATTTAAATGTCTCATTATATTATTTTATTGTTGTTATGTACTTATATTATTTTTTATGATTTAATATCATTGTGTATTATTTTATATTAGTAGTATTTGTTATCATATCATTTATTATTATTTTTTTTATATTTTTTGATTAAATGTAATATTAGTATTATTTAATAGTGCATAAAATATTTAATATTATTATTGTTTATTATTTGACAAAAATATTAAGTCAATATTATTTAGTATTATATTAAACATTTAATATGTATTATTTATTATATTAGTAGTAGTAGTATTTCATAGTGCATAAAATATTTAATATATTTGTATTTATTATTTTATAAAATATATATATATTTTTCAAATAGAATATATGTTTATTTATTCATGAATTTTTTTTTTTATTCATTTGAGCTATTTTAGTATTTGAACTTAAACAAACAAAAAAAAGTTGAATAAGTTCTTTTATATTTTATTTCAGTTAATGCTTATGTACAACAGAAACATTTTATTTAGTTGACAATAACCCTGCCTCTTAACAAGTGAATTTGTAAACATCCTTAAAAGAAAATAAAGTATATAGCACAGTCCTGTGTTTTTTTGGTTTTTTGGTGTTGCTGTCCTCCTTCTACTAGTGGATCTAGTTATACTCTGCTGGAGTAGGTTTGTTTTCTCCATCGGGTCTGAGATTTATGCTTTAAGTGCTGCGTGTCTGTGTTCACGTCTCAGACGGACCGAGGCTTTCTCTCCTCTCCTCGGGATGTGAGGTGAAATGTTTAGCTTTCTGCTCCTTCATTTGGCAAAGCTTTACAGCGAGACTCGCAATAATAATAATAATAATAATAAAGATAAAAGAGAAGACGGCCGGCCTCGCTCTCATCTGACATCAAGCAAAGCTCATTCTGGATGAAATACTGTCAGAAACATTTTATTTAGTTGACAATAACCCTGCCTCTTAACAAGTGAATTTGTAAACATCCTTAAAAGAAAATAAAGTATATAGCACAGTCCTGTGTTTTTTTGGTTTTTTGGTGTTGCTGTCCTCCTTCTACTAGTGGATCTAGTTATACTCTGCTGGAGTAGGTTTGTTTTCTCCATCGGGTCTGAGATTTATGCTTTAAGTGCTGCGTGTCTGTGTTCACGTCTCAGACGGACCGAGGCTTTCTCTCCTCTCCTCGGGATGTGAGGTGAAATGTTTAGCTTTCTGCTCGAATGCTCCTTCATTTGGCAAAGCTTTACAGCGAGACTCGCAATAATAATAATAATAATAATAATAATAATAATAAAGATAGAGAAGACGGCCGGCCTCGCTCTCATCTGACATCAAGCAAAGCTCATTCTAGATGAAATACTGTCTATATATGTGTCCCTGCAGCACAGAAGCAGTGTTAAGTCGCTGGGGGATATTTGTAGCAATAGCCAACAATACATTGTATGGGTCACAATTATACATTTCTCTTTTATGCCAAAAATCATTAGGATATTAAGTAAAGATCATGTTCCATGAAGATATTTAGTAAATCTCCTACCGTAAATATATCAGAACTTAATGTTTGATTAGTAATATGCATTGCTAAGAACTTCATTTGAACAACTTTAAAGATGATTTTCTCAATATTTAGATTTTTTTGCACCCTCAGATTCCAGATTTTCAAATATTGTCCGATCCTAACAAACCATACATCAATGGAAAGCTTATTTATTCACACTTATGACTGGTTTTAGGCTCCGGGGTCACATATCAGGATCAGTCTCATGTTTTCTCTCAGTGAGAGTCAGAGCAAAACAAGTCTAGGACGATGAAGAGAGCGTCTGACTGATGCACAAAATAACAGCCGCAGACGGTTTTGTTCTTCTGTCGTTTAGAAGCAAACAGTGGATGATATTAATATTGATTATAGACCAGTGTGGAAAAGTCCTTACACAGAAATGTGTGTAAACTAGTGCTTCACAGACAGAACTACTGTAAACATACAGTTCTGCTTCTGGAGATCTAGTTTACACGCTGCTAATCGCCTTGAACTAAACTCTTCTAATGATTTACGGCTGCTAAACACAGCCAGACGCTTACGTTCAGACCGGATTTGTAATGTTTATGAAAGAAGTCTCTTCTGCTCACCAGGGCTGCGTTTATTTGATCAAAAATACAGTAATTTTTTTTTTTAAATATTAGAATCTATCACAGCTGTGTTCTGTGTGAATCTCTGTTAAACTGTAATGTATTTCTGTGATGCGCAGCTGTATTTTCAGCATCATTCCTCCAGTCTTCAGTGTCACATGTTCTTCAGAAATCAGTATAATATGCTGATCTGCTGCTCGAGAGACATTATCAATGTTGAAAACAATATTTTTGTATGACAATAACTGTCATACATTACCATTCAAGAGTTTGAGGAAAGAAATTAATACTTTTATTCATCAAAGATGCATTAAATTGATCAAAAGTCACAGTAAAGACATAACGTTACAAAATATTTCAAATAAATGCTGTTCTTTTGAACTTTCTGTTCATCTGTGAATCCTGAAAAATAAAATGCATCACAGTTTCCACAAAAATATTGTGCAGCACAACTGTGTTCAACATTGATAATAATCAGAAATGTTTCTTGAGCAGCAGATCAGCATATTATACTGATTTCTGAAGATCATGTGACACTGAAGACTGGAGGAATGATGCTGAAGATACAGCTGCGCATCACAGAAATACATTACAGTTTAACAGAGATTCACACAGAACACAGCTGTTTTACATTCTAATAATATTTCACAATTTTTGATCACATAAATGCTGCTTTGGTGAGCAGAAGAGCCTATCAGAAACATCAAAAAACGATTCCAGGCGACTGATCAGTTTTTGTGTGAGATTCAGTAAACGCTGGCATCTGTGCGATATTCACAGAATTCACAATCACACATGCTTTTTAGTTTTTTAAGCTGCATGGAATAAAACTCTTGGTCATGAAACCAGACTGTAAAAGTGTGTGAAATTGAGTACCAAGTACTAGTATGTTAATGTCAACAAAGAGAATCAGTGGCCATCATTCAAATGTAAAGCTTTTGTAAAAGCAGCTTTAAACAGAGAAGCACCGGCTCTTTTACGAGAGGACACGCTGCTTGCTTTTGTGACACAAACCAGCTTCACTCGTAAAAATATAAATATAGCCAAAAGGGCATCATGTACGTCATAGTAACATTTAACTTTTTACAGTATTGATGTGCTTTTAATTATGACTACAAAGTATACTGTACAAAAATATGTGAGCAAACTCAGTTCAGAATGTATCATTTACGGGGTTTTTTCTTAAAATTTTAATAAATACAATCAATTGAAATAAAAATAGATATATAAATATATAACATTTTTTACAGTTTAAATATATCATTTAAAGTTTTTGAAGTTGTATCATTTATTGCTTGACAATTTGAATATTTAATTTACCCTGAATATATGATGCAGATTTTTTGAATATATAATTTACAGTTTTGTCTATTTTTATAGTTTCGATCTTTTACGGTTACTATGTTTTGCAGCTAATATATTTAACACCGAATATATCATTTAAAGTTTTTGTATGATTTACAACTTGAATGTATCATTTATGATTTAAATAAATAATTTACACTTTGAATGTATCATTTAACCTTTTTACAGTTTGAATGTATCATTTAGAGTTCTTACAGTTTGAATGTATCATTATCAGTTTGGATATAAAAGTTACACTTTGTATGTATCATTTCTGGTTTGAATGTATCATATACATAGCTGACTTTGACCCGTCTCTGCTTCGTCTGCTTTCACCTCAAAATAGATGCTGCTAAAACACATGCATATATTTAAATAAATATATATATTTTGTTTTTTACTTTTTTTAAACCTTTTTTGGAGATATACAGTAAATATAATACAGTACCATAAAGCATGTTATTTGTATATTTCATTGCATTTCAATTATCTTCCAAACATAAAACAACAAAAAATCCCAATATATGCTATTAGATTGAAAAATAAACAAATGGACCATTAGCCTCAAATACAAGCATGCACTAGATGCAGTCGACTGTTAAGAACCAGTTTGACTAACAGTTGGCAAGCAGTAATCAGCCAATACAAATAAGACCAATCTACCTTTTCATAAATGAATTTAAAAAGTGATGAGCAGTCTTGAAGAAAAAAAAGTCTAGTCTTAACAGTTTATGCAGCCATGCGTGTGAATGAATGTCACTGATAGCTCAGATCAGAGCTGATTCTCATGCGATGCGCTTGTGCTTACTGAAGCTCATTATCACGAGTGTTACTATCTGTCTGTCTGTCCTCAGAATCAGGATCTGAGCTGCGTGGTCTGTCGAATCGTCTCTCGCTCTGACGAGCTTCATCCGCCGGTTCTCCCGCCGCAGCCCGAGCTGACGGTGACCCTGAGGGGCCAGTGGGCTTCCCGCCGCTGCGAGGTCCGGCCCGAGGCCCTGTTCCTCACGCGACACTTCATCTTCCACGACAGCAACCACACCTGGGAGGGTCACTACCATCACTACTCTGACCCGGCCTGCAGACACCCCACCTTCAGCCTGTTCGCCCGCGGACGCTACAGCCGCGGCCTGCGCTCCACACGCGTCATGGGCGGCATGGAGTTTGAGTTCAGAGGTCAGAGTTCGACTCGTTTAACAGCTTGCAAACACACGCCTTGGGTTTTTTATTACGGTTTATTTGTTTTTATTACATTAGGTATTAAAAACAAATCTATATCACGATGCAAAAAAAAAATAAATGAAAAAATAACAATCAAAATGGTTCTAAACATAAAAGAAATCTACATTTTACCACCCAAAACATAGATATTTATTTATAGATAATTAAAATGTATTTATAAATATATTTAATTATTTATGTTTCTCTAAATTAAAGAAAAAAAAAATGTGTATATCACAATGCAAAAAAATCAATAAATACATGCATAAAAATATTAAATCGAAATGGTTCTAATAATAAAAAATGTAAAATCTTAACAGTCTGAAACAGAGATATTTATTTATAGATTTTCATAAATATTTGTTTATATATATATATATAAAGTCTGTTTCGAACCATTAAGGTTTTAAGAGTATCAATTTTTAGTTGCTTGCATTGTGATATACACAATTCTCAAAAAAAAAATATATATACACCCCCACACAACACACACACACACACACACACACACACACACACACACACACACACACACACACACACACACACA